TTACAATTCACTGCTTTGGTAAATCTAAACTTACTGAACATCACAACATCAATATCTGATAGATAAACACTGCCAACATAAACTATAGTTTCTCAAACTTGAAACAATATCTTGAAAAATGATCATATGCTGTGTCAGATGTTCCAGTCATATTTTTTATTTTTATGACGCATTAATTGGAAAAATATGACCAAAAACATAAGTATATATGATTGGCTTCTATGTGTGTACAGGGGGGCATAATATAAAGACACACCAGAAGACTTTAAAAATATAAAAATATATGTTTATTATTATTTATTATTAAATTACTACATGTATTTGGGCGCCCGGTTAGCTCAGTGGGTAGAGCTGGCGACCCATGTACCGAGGTTGAGTCCTTGCTGCAGCGACCCAGGGTTCGGATCCGGCCTGCGGCCCTTTGCTGTGTGTCATCCCCTCTCTCTGCCCCCTCTTCCTGTCTATCTTCAGCTGTCACTATAATAAAGGCAATAAAGCCAAAAAAATATATACTTTAAAATATATATATACATATTACATGTATTAAACAGAGGGAGTCGCTTTGTGTACCTGTTGGTGATGAGTTGATTGACACTCTCTGATCACAGTATGATCTCCATGGACGTCTCCAAACCCACACCAAACCCCCAGCAGAACACTGCAACAGATTCCTTGTATTTTCAAGGATAAGATAAATTCCATCCGATCTCAGCTCTCTGGCTCCCCAGCTCCATCTCTGCCATCTGCCTGCTCACAACCTGCTCTCTTCAGCACTTTCACTACAGTCACACAGGCGGAAGTTGAGGGTCTTATCAAAAAAGATGAAGCCTTCCACCTCCTCCCTGGACCCCCTCCCTACAGCACTTATCAAATCTAACCTGTCTGCCATAAGCCCTCTCATCACACAAATAATAAACCACTCGTTAAACTCTGGCCATGTCCCACCTCCACTCAAAACTGCTGTTATCAAACCTCTCCTGAAGAAACCCAACCTCGACCCAGAATGCCTCTCAAACTACCGACCCATCTCCCATCTTCCATTCCTGTCCAGGGTGCTTGAAAAAGCTTTTGTTCAGGCAGGCGTTCTTTTAGTTGTCCTTAGATTTTAGATGTGTTTTATCACTTGTATTTTTATTCTGTTGCTGATTTTAATGTGTTTTAATATGATTTCTGTAGCACTTTGAGATTCTTTTATGTAAAGTGCTTTACAAATAAAATTTATTATTATTATTATTATTATTACTAATTGTTTTGGATGTGAAAACTCTTTTTCTACTTAAAAAAATATTTAATTGCTTCTAGAGCATCTTTACGTTGTTCATACTGGTCATACTTCATGTGGCCATCATAATTTTAGGGAGAATGATGTGCCAATATGTCTCTTCAAGAGATATGGTCTTGTTACCACAACCAGCTCTATGAAACTGTGTTATAGTTTATGCCGATTTTCAGTCGTGATAGATTGATTAAAAAACAAAAAATCCAGCCTCATCAGTGTGACGATATTAGTGAGTTTTGTGGATGTGGTGAAAAAGTTAGTTTAGAGTAAATACTACTCTAAACTAAGCTCTTTTCTATTTCATTATTTTCCACTTCAGCTGCACAACACACCTTCAGTTCTACAAGCACATTGTAAACCTGCCTGAAGAGAAGGGTTGCATTTCTTAAAAATACATATGAACACCTCCTGCCTCATGTACTGCGTAACCACACGTTTTATTTAATAACCACATTACTTAGAGACATCTGCATCACCAAAGTTTCTCACAGGCAAGTCAGGTAATGTGAAATTAAACTTTGACAGTTAAAAACCACAGCTCTCTGAAGCAGGTAAAGCATGATCATTTTCTTACCAACACTTAAGTGATTGATTATTGTTGCAGTTTAAGGCAGACTATGTAATTAAAACATTTGCCTTGCCATAGGGCTTTTTACTAATGTACAGTTTTGTTAATAAAAAATATATATGTTTGTTGTTTGAGTCCATGGTTCTGTTTTTTATTTTTTTATTTTTGTTGCCTCAGAGCCCCAGAGTTGCTGTTAGGGTCTACACAGGATGTGTTTAGGCACAGTATCGAATGTATCTCAACCATGTTGGTTGAGAGTCCAGCATACAGTCACTATAGTTACACATTTAAAACCAAAACATGTGTGACAGTTAAAAACCACAGATCTCTGTTGCTTCCTCAACCACAGTGTCTCATTTGAAACTTTCACAAGCCAATCTTCACAAACTCTGCTGTAAAGAAAGCTTGCATTCAACAATACTATGAAGCAGACTGGCAACAACTTGGTTTTTAAAGAATACTGAAATGCTGAGATTGTTTTGTATTTTCAGAATTTGTAGATAACCTTTTGATCTATACTGTAGTATAATAGAATAGTTCATCCAAAGACCACAACAGCACTGTATCAAGCATTAATTTCTGTAGCAGCAGGAATTATGAGGAAATGTTTTAGCATATTATTTTGAGAATTACATTCTCATATGAAAAACAACATCAAAGCAATTTTATAAAATGAGAACAGAAAGACAATTATTATCACCCATAACATCAGTGTTCAAACTGTGCAAGAGGAAGTGCTCTTTCACAGGTCACCTCACAGCTCAGAGAGGAGGTAGAACAGTAGCAGTGTAGGGCAAGCTGTGTAATTATTATTTTGCTTTACCATATGTTCTATTGCTAATGTAGACTTATGTAAATAGACAAAAATACTCTTCTGCTGTTTGGGTTTATGGTTCTTTGTGTTTTTGGTGTCATCAGAGCTCCAGAGTTGTTGTTTGAGTTTGTACACAGGACAGCATGCATACATATATATATGGAGATATAGAAATAAAAAGGGTTGGATATCCCAGCAAAAACAAACAAAAGATACTGCTGAGCCAGCCATGCATTGGGCTGTCTCACCCACCGGATTCCTTCCTAAACTACGTAAAGGATACCATTTAAACCGAACCTAACCCCTACTTGGTAATCTGGTGATCTCCTGCCCAAACTAAAATAACAAACTAAAACACAACCAAACACTCTAAACCATGCTAGGGAAAAACAATTGCCTGGCATGAGTGTGTCTCACCACAAACACTGCTCTTCTGCGTCAGACCAGAGGCTCCCTTCTGCCTCTCCCTGATAGATAATTGATTTCTGTTGTTCCACTTCTACGTGAGAAAACAAATAGAGGAGAGAGAGAGCGTCAGAAAGTAGCAGGAGAGAATAAATACAGAACCACCCTTGCACATGCAGAGTGACACGTAAAAGGGCAAGAGATTGAGAGAGACTTGACTTAGTCAGCACCATGGACAGAGACAGAAAGAGAATGTATGTAGATCCAACTCTGAATGGAATCTCAGTGGGTCCATCCAGATGCATACAGTTTATCCTGATATGTAGTTAAAGTGTATTTCTACCATTGATTTGTATGAAAAGGTTACACATTACAAACATGGATCAGATTGTCACTAATTGTCTGACAGATGGCCCTCAGCAGCTTTGCCTGTTGCTCTTTGCAGTGAAAATGCTGAAAAATATTTGAAAACAGTGTTTAATAGATGAGCTTTTGTTGAGAGAACCTAATCCATTTCTGTTTGTGGTGTTGTTTAATGTTGTATCACTTCTGATTGTATTATTTAAATTTCAAAAGTTTAATGTCACAATGGTTTAATATGATATGATAGAGCATTGACCAGAACTTACCTAATCTCAGAAAACTTGCATTTATTTTAATGATGTTGCTCCATATTCTCTCCACTATCTTTTTCCAGTTGTGTAGAAACCTATAAAAGTGTTATCTTCTCTTTATTTGCATTTTAACCTTGACTTGATGGTTTTCATGGTGAAACACAAAAAGGGAAATACACATCACCACAGTGAAAATGAAATATGTTGATTGTGTTAATCATCAGCACAAGCAAGTATTTCAATAAATGTTTATTCAAAATAATCTCATACAATACCAGACATAATTACAATGAAAATCACAGAAAAATACTACTGTCACATTTGATTTGGAAAGGACACGCATACAAAAACACCCTTAAATGAATGAGAGAACAGTCTAGAGCACTATAGTAAAGCTATATTTGTCACAGGACAGATTTTAAAAAAAGCTTAGTTTATTGTTTTTACAGACATAATTTAGGCAAGGGATGTTGCATGATTGATGTTTTTATATGACAATTATGTTACATTGTGTAATTAACTGTTGAGTAGAGAAGGCAATCCTTGGAAATACCTGGGGGAAAAAATTAAGAATTATTATATTATTATTATTACAACACATCTTTGTGTAAATTAATAGATTGTCTTAAACAATATTAGCTTCACAGGTTGTAATAATGTATCGCTGCTTGGTCAATGGCTTCTCCTTCTGAGATTGTATAACAGAGAAGCCAAAGATTTAGACAAAAACCTTTGAAAATGTGCAGTCTTGTCAGATGTGATTTCTTAAAAAAAGACTAAATTTAAATTAGATCAATTAAACATAAACAGATGTGTAGTTATAATTTTACAATTACAAAACTGCTGCAGTCTATGGATTGTTTCAGTCTATTCATGTCCTCTTTTGGAATGATTAATTAACGTATTGATTGGATATTTCGGCTAATTTGAAGGACAAGAAAACAGACAATTCCCCAGTTAAAGAAATGGATGATATACATGGCTTCAGTAGGCAAAATCCTTACAACGAAACTTAACTATGTACACATCAAAAATGCTGCTATTTTGAAAGCATCTCAACCCATACATATTATTATTATTATTATTATTATTATTATTATTATTATTATTATTATTATTATTATTATATTATTATTATTGTTATTGTTGTTGTTGTTGTTTTTAATAACACTATTACAGTCAAATCCAATAGCGTACATATACAAGGTATGATAATGTCAATTTTCATACCACAGTATACCATGGTATCTGTATACTGCTGCAACCCTAGTCATTATGGTCCTTATTCAGACCGATGAAGACATGGGATCTTTCACTTACCCTTATTAACAGTTGTGGGTCTTCGTTTATTATGAAGAATTTTTATGCCAAGACACAGCGCCACAAGGAGAAAGAGAGTGACAGCACTAGCTATCACAGCCATAATGAGGAAGGAAGAAAAATCTAGAAAGCACAAATATCAAACCAAATTAGATAAAACTGATATGTCAGCTATCAAGATGTTTCTCAAATGTATCTTGTCCGTTATTTTGAATATTATCAGGTGTTCAGCATACAGTACCATCTACAGTGGCAATGGGTGTCTAATTATTCAATTTATATATTTTTTTAAATTTAATAAGGACAGTTTAAGATCCCAGAAGGTACTTTCTACTACAAGACTTTAGGAATTTAACACATGATAAAATCGGAGACTTCTGAAAGCCGAGCAGTCTCATGCAGCCAGATTAGAGTGAATTTAACTGACTATTTGAAATTTTGGACTAAAAAGTATGAACAAATAGTGAAAAGCTGAGGAATAAAAGAATGCAAGTGTCCTTTAAACACTGTACCTTTGCAACTTGTCAGGTGAATAACTGTTTCTTCTTTGCTGACATTGTTCTGAACACGACACATCAGGTTTCCTTTCAGCTGACCATGTAAACTGATGGTAACAACTGAAACACTGGATTCTTCAGTTTCATTCAGTTTCACATCGCCTCTGGTCTCCATCAGTAAGAGATCATCCAAGGTCAAAATTAACTCTACTTCCTCTCCCTCAGAGGAGCAGCTGATGTTCCTCCGTTCTGGTGACACACACATCTGGGAAACAACTGGCTTTGACACTGGAGCTGGAAGACAAACATAAAGATACCTATACAGTATCTACAGTAAAAAAAATGCAAAGTAAAATCCACAACCAACTCTGTAAATTTTTGTTGACTTTCCCCCCTCTCTCCCTATATTCCCTGTCTTTTTCCACTGTGATTAAACCAAAATAGCACAAAAAAAGTATGACTGTGAACCTGCATATATTTCTTATATTTATTTCACAGATGGCTTTTGAAAATACACATTTATACACATTTTACATGAAGTCAAAATCAAACTATAATGTAAAATATTCAATCATTAATTAAAACCTAATTTCATATTCTCGTGTCATTTAATATATGCAGTTTTACATATTTTTTATATAAATGTATTAATGTCTTATATTAACATGTATATTAGCTAACTTTAAAATGTCTGCTTTAATTCCTGCTTTATTTACCTACCTTGTATTTCAAGATGTACACTGACTTTTGTCAGTAAAACACCATCAGATCCAAATTGTTCCAACATGTAATCTCCAGAGTGTTTCTTCATTGCGTTACCTAGTTTGAATGTTCCATTGGTGAAGAGTTTAGGCTGATTCACATATTCATCATGAGGAATCACTATCTGATTTTTGAAGATTATATATTGATTATCTTTTTTCAACTTAATTTCTGTATTTGATGTATTTGGCAGACGAAAAATCAACAGCTGTCCCACTGCTCCAAAACACCGAGCTCCAGTAGGTTCAGAGAAATTGCATTCAATAGACTCTAAAAAGCAAACAAAAACAATGAAATTATTTACTTAATTAATACAGATAAATGGCAGGACAAATTATTGTTATTTATGTCTATCAATTCATTTTTCGGGAAATAATAAAGAACAGAAAAACAAAAAACGACTATTTTAACATTTAAAGAAATCATGATATATTTTTATATTATATCATTATATTTTGCTGCCAGAGTCATCTAAATCTATTGTTAAAAGTAAACTTAACAATACTTTGTAAAATAATATGCCTGAGTTCAGATATAGAATCTATACACCATACTGTTAACTGCAGTAACATACTTTTATTCTCAGATGTACCTTTTAACAGAGCGGTTGTTGCCAGAGCAGTGAAGATCATGTAGAAGGAATTCATTGTCTTTCTGTTGTAAGACATGAATCAAGTGTAGTTCTAAATGTTAGTTATTTTGTTTGTGTTATTTTATTTTCTGTTTTTCTATATTATATATACATATATATATTTTAAGATTAGTTGTTGGTTTGAAGTTAAAAAGTACATTTTAATATGAATAGCATGTAAGGAGTATCTATGTTAATTATCATACTGGTTCAGAAAAGTGATCAGAATGTATACTCTCTTAGATTTAAGACCCTCTACAAACCATAAAATCATGAAAAAATTCTACAGTGTGTATGCTCACCTTAGATCATCTCAGCACAAGATTACAATTCAGAACTGTCACTCACTGCCTTCACAATGGTGCGATGTTCTTCGTGGCTGTTTAAGGCTGACCTGTGAATTTTCCACTGACAGAAGGCTGGTTTATGCTCGTCTTGTCTTTTTGTTGTTTTGTTGTGATGAGAATCAAGGAAGCGGTTAATGTGTTGGCACACACAAGTTGGCATTGAACAAAGTAGCCTATTACAATTCACTGCTTTGTGATATAGTTGATGCAGTTTTTAAGCTCAGTGCCACTATAAACTACACTATGATTAGTCAATGCCAGAGAACAACACACTGACTTAACTTACTGTTTGTGACCTCTTGTATCTGTTTTAATCCTGAATGCTTTACAAAGTGAAAAACTATGTTGCCTGTCAATTTTATAGAATCATGCAAATTGATGAATTGTTTTCAGTGACCAGTGGTTACCTAGTTACTCATATTATTTAAGGACTGCATTATACTCTTTTATACACAGCAATGAAAGTATCTTCTGTACAAAAGAGTGCCAATTCACAAACTACTAATACTGCTGCAGCTGATATCAGTGCTCCGTCTTGAATGACTTCAGAGCAACTAAAGCTAATGAAAGAACAATAAGTACACAGAAGACAGAGAAACTCAAATCTTAGAGAAAAATTAGAATTTTATTTAAACTGCCCAATATCTCTATGTAAACGGAGCCTTGACACCAAAATCTAAATATGCTATACTGCTGTAATAAACATTTCAAACGTGAGTTGTCTGACTGAACTATAAATATTTAAATGCAGATTATTTTTTTATTAAGGTATGCTTACAGGAAATTCAATTCATGTGCAAAGAAGTTACCAGCCACATTTGGTGAAAAAAATGGTGAACATGGAGACTTGCTGCTGTTTTATTATTTATTGAACTCTTGAAAAATACACATGGACACTTCCTGCCTCATTGTGCCACACGTTTCATCTAAGAACCATATTACTTAGAGACATCTGTATCACAAAACTTTCTCACAGGCAAGTCAGGTAATGTGAAATTGAACTATGTGAGAGTTAAAAACCACAGCTCTCTGAAGCAAAGGCATCAACATCATTTTCTCTCTAACACATGACTGATTTTTGTTGTAGTGTAGGGCAAGCTATGCACCTTAAAATTTTGCTTTGCCATAGGATTTTTTTGCTAATGTACGAATATGTAAGCAGAAACAATTATTTATTCTTTGGGCCCATGATTCTGTTGTTTTCTCAGAGCCTCAGAGTTACTGATAGTGTCTAAACAGGATGTGTTCAGGCACAGGGTGTTTTTTTTAGCCACATAGGTTGAGAAACCACCATACAATCACTACAGTTAAAACCAAAACAGATACCCTTAAAGTGTATAACTTGAAGTGGTCACATATGTGTGTGTGTACGGTTTGAGTAAAATGTCAGAAGGTGTGAAACGGACTACTGAAAAACATGGCTTAGATGTTTTCTATGTAGACTCGAGTGTTGCTAGATGCTTTTACAAATACAGTTGCTATGTTGTTAGTAGAGTCTTGTTAAAGCTTGTTTTGTTGATCTGTGTATTTGTGTATGTAATGCCAAATATTTCCAACAAATACAGAGAATGTTTTTATTTTATTCAGGTAAAAGTGTCTTTCACTAGTCGCCTGTCAGTGGCGTCATAGTCCCCTTTGCGCATGCGTCAGCGTTGTTTCTAACTACTAGAAGCTGTCATAAATTTACTTTTTATACAGTTTTAAGCCAAATCTTTACAATACAATTTTTAGATCTTGACTGTATCTATATGTTTTATGAAGTTACAGAAGAAACAAACTGGGCTAACGATAGCAGCAGCTTGGCTAGCAGGCGCTACAGGAAGTCCTTTGTCTGCCAGACAGCGTCAGAGAAACACTGATTTTTAGGAAACTGGGGTTGGAGGCTTGGTCTAGAAGCTGGGAACCCGGGGCTGAGGAAGCAGGGCTGATGAGACAAGATGAGGGAGGATAAGGATAGGGAACAGAGACAGGGTAAAGAGAGTGAAGGGAGGAGACAGGAGAAAGGACAGGGACACAGGCTATGATCTGACAGCATGAAGGTGGCAGTATTTTGTAGAGGTCTTGATCATAGATGAGGTGCAGCTGGTGTGGCTCTGCTCTACCACACCTGTCCTCACTCACACAGGGAGTGAGACACTCGAGGAGTGGCAGCTGTTTAAAGAGACACAGAATCATGAAAATATATGTAAAAAATGTGTTACTTTATTTAAAAATGGTTTGATAAAATGTTTTGAGGTGGCTTTTCAACATGATTCACAGCATAGAACATAAAAGAAGGCTGGTCACATTTATACTTTCTTATAGTGGAAATGTATCACATACTATGTGCAAACTGACAGATAATAACTTAATTAGTACTGTGTGTCTCAAATACTTTAATCCATACACATAGGATTACAACTTTGAGTGCTGGCAAAACTAATTTAATTTTCTGCATAGTTAGTATAATGGTTTCAACAGTAGTGTGTTGCTGTAGTTAAAGTTTAAGAGTCAGTTTTATGTCATCTTTGCCACAATCCGTATTTCAGGTTGTGTAGTGGGTTTAAGTTTGCAAGGTTTAGTTTGCACAATTTGTCCAAATGTATTGAGCACTGTGTAGTCGTTACACTAATGATAATACATTGATAATACATTCAAATTAGATTTGCAGGGCCTGTAACAACAGTAGTGTTTTATAGCATGTTACTACCACCTTGTGGTCAAAATATTAAATAAAATCGGTCTGTTCATCCATGTAGGTCATTTGACAAAGCAGAAATTGGAAAGACTTTCTCTAAAGTCCCAATGCTCAATAAGTGTACTGTACCCTTTACACTGCAGTTACTAAAGCCCATATGGTCTGCAATTTTTACCGTTGTATACTTTTTAAGTCTTCCATGATTTGTGGAAACAATGCTGTGTTGATTTAAAGTTACCAGTCATACTCAAATGTACAAGTTTGTTCATGGCCTTTGGCTCCATCGTGTGGTCAATGATGATCACTCCATTACTTGGATCTCCAACTTCAGTAATTACAAAAACAGTCACTACAAGGGTTTCCAGATATTCTGTATGAATAAGCTACACTTTTCTAATGTTGAATTACTGGTCTATTACTAATCATGAACCAGTGTGAAGAAAAACACTCTGAACGTCCCTTTTTCTTGTTGTATGGTAACCTAAAAATGCTGCTGTTTTATATCTTTATATGTGTGGTTTGGTAGTTTGTATGGTAAAACACAGACATGGAATTCCTTCGTTGTACAGTATATTTATTTAAAAATCAATTCCAAAATGCCACACACAATTACAAAACCAATCATTTCAAATGAAAGCATTAATAATTAGTTTTTACATTTGGAAGCTAATGCATGATTGCATAAACAAATTCTGCAATTTTAAAATTTTAACTCAAGATTCAAAAGAAAAAGTATTATTCATTAAATATTTGTCCCAGTATGGACTGAATTTTACATACACATGAAAATTAAGCAAGTATAAACATTATATATGACGTCTAAATATAGGACTTATCCAAAATATAACATAAAACACTTTAGATACTGTTGTAAGATTATCGTATGATTGTAAATATAAGTATACCTATATAAATATATTAAATGTAAAAAAAATAACAAAAAACATACAAACAATGCAGTTTGAATTGCATGCACAACATCATACTACTCAGTTTACAGTGGGAGACAAAATTTGCATGTTTACATCTTGTGTTTCATTATTAACACAATATTTTGTTCACTGAAGTGTACTTGGACAGAGCTGTTGTTGCCAGCGCTGTGTTGTTTATATTGATATAAGTCGTGTTTGTACAGCTGTAACACATAATTCAAATCATATGAAAAAAATTTGAATTTCCTCTACATAGTAAAACATTAAAGAGTGCTTGGTTCTACCCCATTCATGCCGTTTGTCAGCCTGACTGATCTTGTTAAGTCGGCCCTCAACGCTCTCTAATTGTCACTCCTTAATCACAGACAAAATGCAGAGAAGACCAAGTACGTGGCACCTCCACCACTGACTATAACTTTCCTTTAAATGGCACCTACATGAGTCCTACAAATACTTAAGAATTTGGCTTGAGGAGATTATCATTCAAGAATCCTCTTCAACATTTGACTCACAAATTAAAAAATATAACTAGACTTTTTTTCATTGAATTAAAGGATGTCTGTCTTCTTCCAACTATAAAACTAATGTGCAGTCAACCTTCATGTATGTCCTTGACTATGGAGAAATTCTGTTTTATAATGCTGCCCCATCAATACTTAGTTACTAACAGTTAAATCCTGTGAATCACAGTACATTATGCTTCAATTCTATTTCACAAATTACACATTTTGTACTCATCATTGTTCTATGTATCACTATTTTGGTGTCCAAAACTGCTGTAGCAGCTCAGTAAAACTGTGTTAGAGTTTACCAGTATGTGGGTTTTGGTGTGAGGACAATAGGAGGTGTGAAGGCATAGATGTGAGATACTGCATGAGATGAAAGTAAGTTATAGTAGTTTGGCTTGCTGATTTGAGCACACGGTCAGCAGTTGTAGCAGCAGCAGCAGTGAGTGCAACTAAGGTGCTGCAAAACCCACAGGGCCTGATTGCTGCAATCAAAAATAACTTTATCAATTTACGTAAGGTCAAGTTTAGGCTTAGACTTAGTCATGAATAATGTTTTAGAAACAAATTAAGTTGCATTTTGATGTGGGTTGGGTCCAGTTTTCCTTGTGTCCTTCATCACTCTTACATCTGAGTAGACTATTTCATCTGCAGCGTTATCTGAAAGAAGTCAGAACAGGCACTTTAAATGTATCTGACACATAGATAATCTATCGCACTGAATGTCAAAGGGCTTTAATGGTGTTTGGCTAAAGTTTTGAGAGTTGTCAAATCAGTCCATCAGCTTTCAACAGTTCTACCACAGAATGGTAACATAACTTTAATGATCGAAATAGGCGCAGTTTTATATACTGGATGAACCATACCAGTTTTAATTTTCTGAATATTAATTTCTCAAATACTGCCTTATTGCATAACAGAAACACCTGCTCTAACTCATTTATTTCTTATAGTAGAACATTTGAGAAATATCTGTTTGAATACCTAAATACTTAATAAGTTATGCAAGTTTATAGTTAAAAATATTTTCTTTTACAAAGAAATACAATACATTGCAGTTTGCACAATATAAATTGTTTACATTCTGTAACTGCTTCATGCATTCTGATTCAGTCATTCTGTGGTGCCAAGAAAACCCTATAATATTTAAAGACTTCAGTATATACATGATAACATTAAAATGTTTTTATGTTCTATGTACTCCTGACAGTAGAATATGCCACTATCAACCTATGTAATGCCTGTGTCATCCCAAAAAAAAAATCATACTGCCCAGCATTATTTGATATCAGCCATCTAGGTCTTTCTGTATTGATTTTCATGGCACACTAAACTGAATGTAGTTCAGAGGTATTTAGAGGTAGAAAAGGATATCTAGAAAACTACAGTAGCCAATCCTTTGCAAAATTATAATCAGGAATAATAATAATAATAATAATAATAATAATAAATTTTATTTGTAAAGCACTTTTCATAAAAGAATCCCAAAGTGCTACAGAAACCAAGAAACAAAATAACAAAAAACACTAAGGGCAATAACACATTAAAATCAGCAACCAACAAGTGATAAAATACATTAAGAAAAACAGCTAAAAGACGAGTTTGAAGTGCATAGTGAAATGAGAAAAATCTAAGGACAACTTAAGAACGCCTGCCTGAACAAGAAAGTTTTAAGCCCTTTTTTAAAAGTGTCCACAGACTGGGGTAATTTGTGTACTATACATGTTTAACATAATAATTTGGCAAACATTTGCATAAATATGAATCTTCTATATTGGAATTAGGAGAACATCTTTCTCTTACCTTCTTTAACAGTCATGGGTCTTTTCTTGTTGAAATGTTTGATACCAAGAAACAGAGCCAAAAGAGTGGCGACACTTGCTATCACAACCACAATCACAAGAGAGAATAGAGAAATGGAACCTAGAAAATATAAATATCTAATTAGATTTTGAGATGATATCAACATGTCATTTTCAGGATTACAATGATCTTTCTGAAGTTTCTGAAACCACAGATCAAGCTGTGTACACGCTATTTACGCTACAGACTGCATATGCATCATGCTATTTATATGTATTTCCATAAAGCTATAATTGTAGTTTATATAATAAATCAATTTAAAAAAGTGAAATGATTAAATATTATGTTACCCAAAGGAATAAATAAGTACATCGGTAAATAAATAAATAAGAATAGAATGTAATAATTTATTTAGATACACTACCTTTACAGCTTGTAAGGTGGATGACTGTTTGTTCTTTGCTGACATTGTTTCGGACATTACACATCAAGTTTCCTGCCAGTTGACCATGCAAGCTGATAGTAACAACAGAAACACCAGGTTTATGTTGGTTATCAGTACTCCCAGCCAGTTGCAGCGTGTCCAGTGTTGAGCTGCTCTGGGACTGACTGTGGTCTCTGGTCTGCAGCAGTATGTGACCGTCCAAAGTCAAAATGAACTCTACTCCATCTCCCTCAGAGGAGCAGCTGATGTTCATTTGTTCTGGTGAAAAACACATCTGAGACACGGCAGGCTTTGACACTTGAGCTGGAAGACAAACAGAGAGAAACATATACAGTATCAATTTTGAAGAACCGGATAGTGACAACATACTTTGGTCATCTTTTGTTACAGAATTACACACAGGTCAGCGGTAGATGATGATGAAATAATGATAAATCGCAAAATAATGTTATGCAGCCCCCATATGCAACAAACTACGATGCACTATGTGTTCTGACACCTTTCTATCAGAACCAGCATGAACTTTTTCAGTTGGACAGTAGCTCGTCTTCTTCGCTCCCAAGTGCATCCGTGAGCCTCGGTCACCCATGACCCTGTTGCCGGTTTACTGCTTTTCCTTCCTCCTAAATTCCTGCTTTATATGTATATTTACCTACCTTGTATTTCAAGATGCACACTGACTTTTCTCAGTGAAACTCCATCAGATCCAAATTGTTCCAACACGTAATCTCCGGAGTGTTTCTTCATTGCGTAACCTAGTTTTAACGTTCCATTGGTGACGAGTTCAGACCGATTCCCATATTCATTATGAGGAATCACTATTTGATTTTTTTCTGTTTTTAAGATTATATATTGATTATCCTTTTTCAACCTAGTGTCTGTATTTGATGTATTTGGCAGATGAAAAATCAACAGCTGTCCCACAGCTCCAAAACACCCAGCTGCAGTAGGTTCAGAGAAATTGCATTCAATAGACCCTAAAAAAAAAGAAGTACAGTACAATTCTTAATGTAAAATACAAATAAATGGCAGGACAAATTTTGTTATTTATGTCTAAGAGTTCATTTTTCTTTCGGGAAAGGGAAATAAAACAAAAACAAGATAATTTTAATATTATATATACCTTTTATATATATAAAATTATATTTTGCAGCCAGAGTCATGCATTTTCTGTAAATAAATGTTTAATCTATTGTTAAAAGTAAACTTTACAATACTTTGTAAACTGATATGCCTGAGTTCTGATATTTAATCTGAACACCATGCTGTTAACTGCAGTAACAAACTTTTATTCTCAGATTTACCTTTTGCCAGAGCAGTTGTTGCCAGAGCGGTGACGATTATGTAGATGGAATTCATCGTCTTTCTGTTGTAACACATAAATCAAATGTAATTCTAAGTATTAGATTTCCATTTATATTTTACCTATATAAAATGAATACATTTAAAATTTGTTGGTTTAAGTCAATTTTAATCGTATAACATACCATAGTATCTATGTTAATAATCAAACTATTACAGAAAAGCAAATCATTTATACCCTCTCAAATTTAAGACCCTCTACAAACCATAAAATCATGAAATTCTACAGTGTATATGCTCGGCACAAGAATGGAGCGAAGCCTGCGAGCTAGTTCAGGCAGTTCAACTCGAGCTGCGTTGATGACACACATGGCATGCCTTATTCCATAATCACTAACCAAACGCACCCTTCCAATCTGGCAGTCTATTTAAACTGCACAATTTCCCAACTCTCAGTCTGCTCTGTCAATGCCGATGTTGCCCGTATTGTTGCTGCTGCTCTGTAAGCTATTGCTGCCTGCTGCGCTGTAAGCCCCACCACCACCCCACCATCCACCTGTAGGCTCCGACTGGGGGTGAAGGTATTTGCGCATCACTCCCCAATATCTCTATATAAACATATCTGCGGGGAGTGATGAGGTCGGAGCCTAGACGCCAAAATCTAAATATGCTATAGGCTACTGCTTAATAAACATTCCAAACGTGAGTTGGCTGACTGAATTACAATTCAGAACTGTCTCTTACCGCCTTGGTGCGACGTTTGCTTCGTGGCTGTTTAAGGCTGACCTGTGAATTCTCCACTGACAGAAGGCTGGTTTCCGCTCATCTTGTCTTTTGTTGTCTTGTTATTTGATGAGAATCAAGGAGGGGTTAATGTGTTGTCACACACAAGTTGCCATTAAACAATGTAGGCTATTACAATTCACTGCTTTGGTAAATCTAAACTTACTGAACATCACAACATCAATATCTGATAGATAAACACTGCCAACATAAACTATAGTTTCTCAAACTTGAAACAATATCTTGAAAAATGATCATATGCTGTGTCAGATGTTCCAGTCATATTTTTTATTTTTATGACGCATTAATTGGAATATTATGACCAAAAACATAAGTTTATATGATTGGCTTCTATGTGTGTACAGGGGGCATAATATAAAGACACACCAGAAGACTTTAAAAATATAAAAATATATGTTTATTATTATTTATTATTAAATTACTACATGTATTTGGGTGCCGGGTTAGCTCAGTGGGTAGAGCTGGCGACCCATGTACCGAGGTTGAGTCCTTGCTGCAGCGGCCCAGGGTTCGGATCCGACCTGCGGCCCTTTGCTGTGTGTCATCCCCTCTCTCTGCCCCGCTTTCTTGTCTATCTTCAGCTGTCACTATAATAAAGGCAATAAAGCCCAAAAATATATACTTTAAAAAAAATATATATATATATATTACATGTATTAAACAGAGGGAGTCACTTTGTGTACCTGTTGGTGATGAGTTGATTGACACTAATTGTTTTGGAAAAGAGATAAAAGGACTGAGTAACCATGACACTGAAGAACAAGAAGACAGCTGATAAAGTCTGTGCTGCACCTTCAGCTGAATAAAAGGAATTATCTGATTTGGATGTGAAAACTCTTTTTTCTACTTAAAAAAATAATTAATTGCTTCTAGAGCATCTTTACATTGTTCATACTGCTCATACTTCATATGGCCATCATAATTTTAGGGAGAAGGATGTGCCAATATGTCTCTTCAAGAGATATGGTCTCTTGAAGAGACTACCACAACCACTCTTAGCAGCTCTATGAAACTGTGTTATAGTTTATGCCGATTTTCAGTCGTGATAGACTGATTAAAAAACAAAAAATCCAGCCTCATCAGTGTGACGATATTAGTGAGTTTTGTGGATGTGGTGAAAAAGTTAGTTTAGAGTAAATACTACTCTAAACTAAGCTCTTTTCTATTTCATTATTTTCCACTTCAGCTGCACAACACACCTTCAGTTCTACAAGCACATTGTAAACCTGCCTGAAGATGAGAAGGGTTGCATTTCTTAAAAATACATATGAACACTTCCTGCCTCATATACTGCGTAACCACACGTTTTATTTAATAACCACAATACTTAGAAACATCTGCATCACCAAAGTTTCTCACAGGCAGGTCAGGTAATGTGAAATTAAACTTTGACAGTTAAAAACCACAGCTCTCTGAAGCAGAGAAAGCATGATCATTTTCTTACCAACACTTGACTGATTGATTATTGTTGTAGGCAGACTATGTCATTTAAAAAATTGCTTTGCTTTGGTTCTGTTTTTTGTTTGTTTTTTTTGCCTCAGAGCCCCAGAGTTGCTGTTAGGGTCTACACAGGATGTGTTCAGGCACAGTATCAAATGTATCTCAACCATGTTGGTTAAGAGTCCAGCATATAGTCACTATAGTTACACATTTAAAACCAAAACATGTGTGACAGTTGAAAACCACAGCTCTCTGTTGCTTCCTCTGCCACAGTGCCTCATTTGAAACTTTCACAAGCCAATCTTCACAAACTCTGCTGTACAGAAAGCTTGCATTTAAACATATAATGAAGCAGACTGCCAACAGCTTGATTTTTAATTGTGTTATAAAGTTCATTACAGAACATCAAAATGCTCCAGAGATTGTATAGATTGTTTCATATTTTAAAAATATATAGATAACAGTTTGCTGTTAGAAGAGTTAATCAGAGACCCCAACAACTTTGTATCAAGCATTCATTTCTGTAACAGCAGCAATATCGAGGAAATGTTTTAGCATATTATTTTGAGAATTATGTTCTCATAAGAAAAACAACATCAAAGCAATCTTATAAAATCAGAACAGAAAAAAACTATTGTCACCCATAACAAACTGTGCAAGAGGAAGTGTTATTTCAGGTAGAACTACTTTGGAAGCAGAGAAGGCATGTCCACATTGTCTTCCCATTTTCTTTTTTGCAGTGTAGGGCAAGCTGTGTAATTAATACTTTGCTTTGCCATATGTTTTATTGCTAAAGTAGACTTATGTAAACAGACAAAAATACTCTTCTGCTGTTTGGGATTATGGTTCTTTGTGTTTTTGGTTTCCTCAGAGCTCCAGAGTTGCTGTTTGACTGTCTACACAGGACAGCATGCATACATATACACATATGTGTGTATATATATATATACATATACAAAAATAAAAAGGGTTGGAGATCCCAGCAAAAACAAACAAAAGATACTGCTGAGACAGCCATGCATGGGGCTGTCTCACCCACCTGATTCCTTCCTAAACTACGTAAAGGATACCATTTAAAGTGAACCTAACCCCAAAGCTGGACTACTGGTGATCTCCTGCTCAAACTAAAATAACAAACTAAAACAAAAGCAAACACTCTAAACCATGCTAGGGAAAATAATTGCCTGGCATGAGTGTGTCTTTACACAAACACTGCTCCTCTGTCATCCTAGAGGCTCCCTCTGCTTCGCCCTGATGGATAATTGATTTCTGTTGTTCCACTTCTACGTGAGATAGATAAACAGATAGATGAGAGAGAGAGCATCTGAAAGCAAGAGAGAATAAATACAAAACCACCATTGCACATGCAGAGTGACACGTAAAAGGGCAAGAGATTGAGAGAGACTTGACTCAGTCAGCACCATGGACAGAGACACAAAGAGAATGTATGTAGATCCAGCTCTGTATGGAGGTGAGGTTCACATGGAATCTCAGTGGGTCCATCCAGATGCATACAGTTAATCATGATATGTAGTTAAAGTATATTTCTACCATTGATTTGTATGAAAATGTTCCACATTACAAATAGGAATCAGATTTTCACAAATTGTCTGACAGATGGGCCTCAGCACCTTTTCCTGTTGCTCTTTGCAGTGAAAATCCTGTAAAATATTTGAAAACAGTGTTTAATAGATGAGCTTTTGTTGAGAGAACCTAATCCATTTCTATTTGTGCTATGCATATTGCAGGTTTTTTTAATTTAATGTTTACTCCAGGAATCATTAAAAAAATTGTGCAAATTGTGGACTTCAGACTAAGAAGTGAAGAATGAGGCGGCCAAAATCACAAGTTGTATCTGTAACAAGTTAAACTTCACAATGATACAAAAACCAAACTGGCCTCAAATCAGCACTTATCTCCATTGTTTATCTAAAGTAATATAGTTGTCAACTGGCTGTAGTGTAATCAATACCTTAAAATTTTACAGTACAAGTTACTTTCTAGGTACATGAAGGGACCTTTGGCTCCATCATTGTGTTGCTTGGAGCTCATCTATAAGCTCTCCAGTAGTTACTATCTTCTCTACACCTTTGAGGAGTTGAATTGGTAAAACAATTGTTCTTTTCTCTCTCTATTTTATTTAATTTTGTGGCAAATCTAATTGTATATTTACGCTCCATATTCTCTCCACTTTCTTTTACCAGTTGTG